AATTGCTAGACTGAATTCCATCTCCGATATCTTGGTTATATCTGCATTCATTTGTAAATCTGCAGCATAAGTCATAATCTCTGAGTCTTTTCTATTTTGGGGGCTCCTCCTCCTAGTCATTCCGTTGATGGGTGTTTGAGGGAATGTGTAGAGTCCAAATTATTGACCAGAACCCAAGCAAGATGCACCTGTTTTTTTGGGACCTTAGGGTTGCTGGCCTCTTGTTTTCTCAGCCTGTCTTCTGGGGGTGGGGCCTGCTGCACTGTTGCTTAGGCAACCGTGTTTGGGCAGAGTGGCCCTGCCCCCTGTGGCACAGTATGGGCTCCGCAGGAATAGTTTTTGGGGCTTTTGTACTCTGGCGGCTTTCCCTGGTGGCTTTCCGCAACTCTTCCACGAGTCAGAGCAGAAGAGACTGTTTCCAATCCTCTGCCTCAGAGCAGAGAGATCACAGTCTGTTCTTCATTGAGCTCTCCAGGCCACACCGTCTCTGTTTCTGTCTGTGCTGCTATAAACTGCAGCATCCTGGGTTGTGCGCCCCTCTGCAGCGCCCCCAGTCCTGCCTCCAGGTTGGGGCATGTCTCTGCCCTTTGTGCTTCTAAAACAGCCAGCCGCCCCCAGTTCGCACGCGGGACCCTGCCGCTCCGGTTTCTGCCCCAGGGGCTGCCCTAAACTCCTTTCCCCGCTGCTACCGGTCTGTGAGTCTGTGCCCTGTCCCCAGAGTGCGAGGCTGTTGCTCACTGGCGGTGTAGGATCCCCACGGCCAGGCTCCCTCCCGCTGCCATTTATCCTCCAATATCTGCCCGCGGAATCATGGCTCCCTGCTTTGTACCTCGAAACCAACCGCCTGAGATATTCTGTTTGTAGAGATTCAGATCTTCTTACAACTCAGGCTGGTTTCGTGGGTGCTCAGAGTAGTCTGGTAGATTCCAGCTCAATTCTGGGGACCAGTGAAATAGGGTTCCCTACTCCTCCACCATCTTTCCTTCCCCCCATAACACAACAATCCTCCCTGCAGTGCTCATTTCCACAAAGTCTTCCCCGGGCCCCAGTGAAATCAGCGCATGATGCTGCTGGAACATCAGCTCCTCTCCTAAGAGCCCAGTGTTCGGGGTTTTCTCCCCAGGAGGTGCTCGCACTGGAACCAACCCCTCCAGAAGCGGGGCGTGCCCCGAGTATTGTTTTGTTTTTAATATGCTTTCTGACATTTACTTTTTCCATTTTGAGTTTCAATAACTGATAAATTAGTGACGAATTTTCAAACTTTTAAAAGATTACTGTATATTTTTACTGGCAAACAGAGTTTTCAGATATTTATGTATTTGAAAATGTGTTTCTTTACATCATCTTTTTTATTAGACAATAACAAAATAAAGAATTATTAATCTGTTTGAAAATTTCTATCAAACTCTTAGAAAAAAATCGAGTGATTTTGTGAAAATGGTCACAAACTTTATTTATTTATTTATTTATTTATTTTAAAGATTTTATTTATTTGACAGAGACACAGCGAGAGAGGGAACACAAGCAGGGGGAGTGGGAGAGGAAGAAGAAGCAGGCTTCCCGCAGACCAGGGAGCCCGATCCCAGGACCCTGGGATCATGACCTGAGCCAAAGGCAGATGCTCCACGAATGAGCCACCTAGGCGCACCATGGTCACAAACTTTAAAAGGAATTTTTATGTAGTGATCAATTATCTTACATTGTGATAAATATTTTATGTCTAACCCCTATATTCTAAGTTGTAGTGTACATACCCATTATTATTACAGAATTCTAATATATATGCCAAAATTATAACAATTAGGTGGTTTGTTACAAAAGCTACATAAAAATGATAAGCTGTATCTATGTAAGCAATAAAATGTATTTTCACCTTGACTCTACCAGTAAATTCTGGGTAAAGTTTGATATTTTTCTCTTTTCTTGTAAATGTGTTTTCCCCCCTCCTTCTGACTTGTCTTAAAAAGCTTAGAAAAATTTTACATAACAATTATACTTAAAAATAATTATATAAGTAGTACACTTAAGAGTTTCATTTATTTATTGATTTACTCAATATAATTAAAACTATCTCAACAATTTCTATAAGATAAGCTTTTGTTTCAATCCTAGGTTTAATATAACAATAATAATCATTTTCCCACCATTCCTCCCCAACACATAGCTTAATATGTAATCCTCTATTATCCTAAACTCTTCCCTCTTAATAGAAATCTGCTTTAATCAATGATATAGTTGACTTGAATATTATTATTATTTATTTATTCGAGAGAGAGAGAGAGTGAGCAGGGAGAGGGGCAGAAGGAGAGGGAGAGGGGAAGTCGACTCCCTGCTGAGTGCGGAACCCAACTCGGGGCTCGACCCCAGGACCCAACCTGAAACCAAGAGTTGGATGCTTAACTGACTGAGCCATCCAGGCACCCCTGAATATTATTTAGTTAGTATTTCTAACTGTTGAAACTTTTTGAATTAAATTATGTGCTTCTTGAAACAGTGTTGTATACAGGATAGGTGCTCATTAATATTTATGGCATTACATTAATTCATATATTCATCCAATATATCCATTTATTATGTGCCAGGTCCCATAGTCAATGCTGCCGACATAAAGATAAAACAGAAGCAGACCCTGCTCTAAAGCTGCCCAGATACCCAAGGGATTCTAATAGGAAGAAAAATGGACCCTTAAAGATGTCTGCATTCTATTTCCGGAATCTGGCAATATTTTACCTTATATGGCAAAAGGGACTTTGCATATGTGATTGAGTACCCTGAGATGGGAGATTCTCCTGAATTATCCAAATTCGCCTAATCTAATCACATGGGCCCTTAAAAGCAGAGAACTTTTCCTAGTTATGGTCAGAGAAAGATGTGACTACAGAAGAAAAGTCAGACATCACACATCTGCCTTTGAAGATGGAGGAAGAGGAACATAATCCAAGGAATATGGGGGACCTCTAGAAGCTGGAAAAAGCCCTGCTTGGTAAACCTTGGTTTTAGCCCAATGAGACCCATGCTGGACTTCTGACTTACACAACTGTGAGATAATAAATTTGTGTTTAAGCCACTAAATTTGTGGCCATTTGTGAGAGCAGCAATAGAAATACTGGATTATCTAGCCCAACATGTTTTTTTGACAGATAGGAAACTAAAATCCTCAAAGTCACACATTTACGTAGTGGCAATGTACTCTGAGTTTGAAGAGAACCTAATTTTCTTCTCTGTTCTCAAACCATTGTCTGGTGCCAGGTTAAAGGCAGAAAACGAAGGGAAAGAGTTCTGAAGGGAAATAGTTATCACCATTTTTCTATATATGAAGTGTATGAATTGGATGCATGGTATACTAATACCACAGCTACTCTCTTCCAGTTTGCTTTGGCTAAATTACAGCTGACTCTTAAATAATGCAGGTTTGAACTCTGTGGGCCCACTTATATGCAGACTGTTTTCAATATATACCATACAGTGCTGTAAAAGTATTTTCTGTACCTTATGATTTTCTTAACATTTTCTTTTCTCTAGCTTACTTTATTGTAATACAACATATCATATATAAAACATACAAAATATGTGTTAATCAACTGAGTTCTCAGTAAGGCTCCTGGTAAAGAGTAGGCTATTAGTAGTTCAGTTTTTGGGCAGTCAAAAGTTATACATGGATTTTTGACAGTGTGGGGGGTCAGTGCTCCTAACTCCTGCATTGTTCAAGGGTCAACTATATTTATATGGGCTGCAGGAACAGCTTTTACTGTACACCCTCCTCAAAAGCACTCAAGTGTTTTGTAACACTATGTGTGCTGTGCATGTGTGTGCATTTATAGGTGTGAGGTGACCAGTTATTAATTATCATTGTGTTGTCTCTTGTGCCCATATTGGTACCATGACATCATACACTTCTTTTTAAAAATTTTTTTAAAAGATTTATTTGAGAGAGAGAGAGAGAAGATGCAGGGAGAGGGGCAGAAGGAGAGGGAGAAGCAGACTCCCCGCTGAGCGGGGAGCCTGACTATGGGGCTCAATCCCAGGATTCCCAGATCATGACCTGAGCTGAAGGCAGATGCTTAACCAACAGAGCCACCCAGGTGCCCCAACACCAGGCACTTCTTTAGGAATCCAGGTAGGTGGAGGGAAATGAAGTCTGAATCCCAAATATTCACACTGGAATTTTTAAAAGAATAGAGACTTCACCTCCACAAATTCAGTCCACAAGTATTTACTGTGGACCTACTATGTGCAGGGTCTGTTTAAGGTATTTGGATAGACATAGCAGCGAACAAAATAGATCACGTCCCTACTCTCATAGAACTTACATTCTGTTGGGAGAACCAGACGGTAAATTAACAAATAAATTAATGTTAAGTAGTGTTAAATGCTCTGAATAAAAATAAAGCAAAGTAAAGGGAAGAGTGTATACATGTGGGGAAGATGTACATAGGGCAAAATTAAACAAGAAGATGAGGGCTGAGGAAATGCCTTCTTTAACTATATATTCAGCTTTTCCTAAAATCAGCAACAACTGCCTTTAGTGTTCAGTAGAAGACTTCTTTTCAACATACTGATAATTTAGTCAAGGGTTTTCATGTTATAACAATACACTGATTAATGAAACAAAGACTTTCAAAACAAAAATCCTTGATATTTTCAGGCTTCCCATTTACTACTGTTTTACAGCAAGTTGAGTGATCAACTGGACAGACCTGGCACTAAATATCAATGACAACTACAGCACTGGAGTATCTTAGGACTTTCTGGATTTTGGATGCCTCCTGGATTTGAGGAACTCTATGACCCCATGTTGATTTTATCTCTCCTCTGATACTGAACTGTGGGTGGTTCAGTAATTACTAATATAGTAATACATTAAGGAAGTAACTCTATTTAGAGGATGGTAAAGAAAGCACAGAACATTTAATTACTGCTGACTTTAAGGGAAAATCCAAATTTAAATAATCAGTTTTATAAGATATTGTTAAGACAGCAAGACAATGTTTAAAACTCACTTTGAAGTGTTTCAAGTTCAGCTCTGGTCAATGCATCTTCCTTTTTCTTCAATCTTGTTTCTTTATATTTAGCATAAAACTCCCCAGCATCCTTAAAAAAAGAAGTTACAAATAAATTAACATGAAAATCAGTTTGCTTTGACACTATTTTCCACATGATTTCATTTTAAAGCAGTATATTCATTTAACAAGTAGTCTTCCTTTCTGTTTATGTTTTTAAATTTTATGATGAACAGAAGAAACTAAATGTTTCTCTATGATTTTTCTCTTAGAGAGCTTATTTATTAAGGCTAGTAATTGCAGGAATATAAATTTAAGTAAAGTCTTTTCTCTTAGATATGGAAGAGAGGACTCCTCTTCCTGTTTTCCACCCTTGTTTATTTTCTCAATATTGTGCTATTGCATGGACAAAGAGCAGAAAAACACACTTGCTAAACTGAATTAAATTATTTGGTACAGTAAATTATATTACTGTGACTAACAAAGTACTATTTTCATATTAGTCCCTTAGCTTCAAAAGATTTTCAAAATTATTATATGCAAATCTGATTATGAAACCTATATGATCATGTAGATACAAGTGAAGTTGTCATTCCTCCTTCCACCACACTTAGAGATTAGTTCCTATCATGGAGGGTTGGGGATTGAGGACAAATACTTAGGTGTCAAAATATAGTGGCTAAAGTCTCAAGGAGTGGCACACAGGTAAGACTCTAGCAGAGTAATGAAAAAAGCCTAGGGCTTCAATAATCACAAACATGGACATTAACAAGTTGATGCCCTAGACATATGAAGATCCCAGCAAGGAGAAAAACAGAATAGGTAATTTTCCACTACCTCTTAACTCAAACTTCATCCATTATATAGCTTATAGCTGCCAGGCCACATTGTGCTTTTTTTTTTTTTTTTTTAATGTCTTTGCCTATGCTTTGCCCTCTAACTAGAATATTTTGCTGCCCTGCCATTATTCTGATGAACTCCTATTCATCCTTGAAAACTCTACTCAAGCATCACCTCCTTTGCAAGTTTTTCTGACCTTCCCTGGCAGAGTAATTCTCTACTGCATACTGCTTTTGTATTTAAGCACACTTCTAGGATTGCTTGTATCAGGCTATATTCTCTCCTAGAAAACGAGAAATTTGAGATAGGGGTACTTGTATGACCAGAGTACAGTATCTGGCATAAAACAGGTACACAATAAATATTCATTGAACTGAACTAGATCAAAATATATGAGAAATCTTGTAAAGAAAGAAATGAAAGGGCTTGATGATTGATGTGGAATAAGAAAAAGAGAGGTATCAAGGATAACTCTAGGGTAACATTCCCAGATTTTAAGATTCCTATGGCAGATAAATCATAGACTCATCTGAGAGGGTTTTATTTTTTAAGGAAATAAAGGAACAAAATAAATTCTTGGCTCTACCTTGATTCAAATGGAAATGCATGAACACTTAAACTCTAGAATAGAATTTTCTCTTTTCATCTATGACTGTCTAGGAGTTACAGATATTCTTAGAGTCTATATCTCTTGGGGTTATATCAGAACTCTTCTACCCAACACTGAATTAGGTAAATAAGAGGTATTTCTAAAATCACTGGATCACTATAATCAAGATTTAGCTCTATTCTCCCATTCTCACTTCTATGTTCCTACCTCATTTCTACCAGAAGGATTCCATAAGCCCTACCAGAAGGATTTAGCTCTATTCTCCCATTTTCACTTCTATGTTCCTACCTCATTTCTACCAGAAGGATTCCATAAGCCCTGGGTGTGTGAAATAATGGTATCACTTGAAGGGTACAGAAAGTCATGCATCCAACATACTTATCCTCCTAGCCCATATATACTTTTGGATTAAGGATATATGGCTCCTTAACATTCCCTGTACCCCCTAAAAAACTCAACCTGGAATACTATTATTTTCCTTAAGCCATATCAGTCATTTATTCCTTGACATGAATGAATGAATGTGCTTATTAGCTTCTTTGCAGACAGTAGTTTTTAATAGTAGGGAAAAGAAAAGGTCAGAAAGGCACTGGTCCCTTGAAGGGAGTAGGAAAGGTGGCACCATGCAAGAAAAAAGGGCACAGGTAAGTTATTCATGAGATGTGAAAGAAGGTAGGTTGAAATCAACCATCATGGTACAGTATAGTGAGATAAAATACAGGGAGTAAAAGGGCAGATTTGGGAACCAGACTACCTGAATTAAAGTCTCAGCTCTGCCATCTTAGAGCCTATATAACATTGAGCAAATTACTTCACTTAGTTTTGGGTGAATTATCTCATTCAGGAATGGGGATAATCACAGGGCTATTGTAAAGACCGAAGTGTTGATAAATGGGAAACACTTAGAATAACATCTTACACATAGGCCTTCTATATGTTACCTATTTTGATTATAACTTCATCCTTTTACCAAAAACCATATTCTGCACCACAAAGAGTGAGTTTTTCTGCTTCATACTTCACCAAAACTCCTCTGGCAGAATCCTATATCTTCTTGCTTACATGATTTTCTTTACCTTTGGTACTGTCTCCATGCAAAAATCTTTTATTGGGTAATAGTAGCCTCTTCCTACTCATCCTACCAAATCTGAGTATTTCTCTGCTAATGTGCTTCTTTCTGCTACAGCACAGAAGTCCACTAAAATCCCTCCTTAAAATTATCCATTTGATCCAAAAATCACACTCATCTGAGGATCACTATGCACCTAATCACCTTAGCCTACTCCACCTAATTCCAAGAGTTTTAACACATTCCCTAGTTTCACTCACTGTTTTGTTCTAGGCCGAGAACGCTTTCTTCCCTCTGCTCCATTTCTAAGCATTTATTTAAATGTTCCTCATCCTTTTTCTTTTCTTCACATCTTACTTGTATTTTCAAACTGTAAGTACAATATGCCTACTCCAGAAAGGCTTACTTCTTTAAGAAACCTATGATCTCAAATAGCTCTCCTGCATTCAACACTCTACATTGTTCCCACCCTCCTTGTGTGCAGTTTGGTGTATCGTACTTTAAGGTGCACTGACAAACTGTAAGACTTTAAGAAGAAAGTGATCAAATGGTGAGGAAGCTTGAGACTATTATACACAAAGAATGAATCATGGAACACTACATCAAAAAAAAAAAGGGAATGGAGATAAGAAGATTAGAGATAACCTGATAACTATCAGAGAATATCTTAAGGGTCATTACAGGAAAGAATGGTGTAACACCATATATGGTTCCAGAGACGGAAATTTAGATTTTGGATAAATATAAAGAAGAGTTTTCTAATAATTTAAACTACCTTAAAATGAAAGAGACTGACTTCAGAGATAATATTCAAGAAGAGACCAGGTGGCTATTATTTAAAGTATATTCTAAGGGAGAATCACGTATTCAAAAGGGGTTGAATAAGAGGAGTTGTCTTCCAGTATGGAGGTTCCTCAAAAAGTGAAAATTAGAGCTACCCTATGACCCAGCAATTGCACTACTGGGTATTTACCCCAAAGATACAAATGGAGTGATCCGAAGGGGCACCTGCACCCCAATGTTTATAGCAGCAATGTCCACAATAGCCAAACTATGGAAAAAGCTCAGATGTCCACTGACAGATGAATGGATAAAGAAGATGTGGTACACACACACACACACACACACAGGAATATTACACAGCCATCAGAAAATGAAATCGTGCCATTTGCAACAATGTGGATGGAACTAGAGGGTATTATGCTAACTGAAATAAGTCAATCAGAGAAAGACAATTATCATATGATCTCATTGATATGTGGAATTTAAGAAACAAGGCAGAGGATGATAGGGGAGGAGAGGAAAAAATGAAACAACATGAAACCAGAGAGGGAGACAAACCATAAGAGACTCTTAATCTTAGGAAAAAAACTTGAGGGTTGCTGGAGGGGAGGGGAGTGAGGGATGGGGCAACTGGGTGATGGACACTGGGGAGAGTATGTGTTGTAAACAGCACTAGGTATTATATTAGACTAATGAATCACAGACCTGTACCCCTGAAACAAATAATACATTATATGTTAATTAATTGAAGTTAAAAAATAAATAAGTAAATAAAAAAATAAAGGGGAAAAAAGAGAAAAAAAAAAGAGCAGTTGTTTTCAAACTCCCCCCCCCCTCCATTCTTCATGAGTGGCTAATTCACGTCAATATACTTGTCAAGTAGAGAAAGTCTCATTTTGAGTCCAGAATAAGCCCCAGTTTACCTACACACAGAAAATTAGAATATCTTATAGATATAAACATCAATCTTTGTGGACACTGCCTGAAAAATAGAAGCTTAATAAATATTCCATGAATGAATGAATGTTTACTTTAATCAATCAGGGCTCTGGACCGCTGAGGTTTAGCTCTATAATATTGTATTAAAACTATGGTTCCAAACAGAAAGAGTTCCAATCCTCGAGGAGCTTATATTATAATCATTATGGATGGAACATGAGCAAAAGTTTTTACTTTAGAAGCAATTCTCCTAGTACTTAACAAAATTTTTTGAAGGGCTCAAAGCTTGTCTACATAGATATCAAGCAGGGAACTGATTTTACGTTATAGAACTACAGCCAACTTTAAGAATTTGCATGTTATGAGTATCCTCTGTATCTAATTGTAGAGCATGGCTCTTGCACAGGAAGACATTAAGCAGTTATATTTATTTATGCTTATTTACTTTACCACTATTATATATGTTGTACCTTGTTAGGATATACGGAGATTATATGATAAGACAAGCAGCTGCCCTTAAGGCATATGTAAAAATAACTGAATAACCCAAAATTTGCAATATAACCTATGTGAGAACAGAGATTTTTGTGTTTTATTTATTTTTATTTTTTATCTTTTTTTTTATTTCCAGGGCCTAGAGGAGCACCTGGCACATAATAAATAGGCACTCAATAGTTGTTGAATGAATTACTGGAAGAGAGAATGAAGCTCACCCAACATTCTGTCTCCCCACATTTCCTTGTTCTCTTGAGATTAGGTGGGATCATGGCAGTAATTCTGAATGGGGCTTGGATGGAAATATCGTGTCATTTCAAACCAAAGAATCAAAAAGCTCGTGCAATCCTCCAGC